ATTTAATCCTCGATACGGTAGCTGGATTTCGAAATGAAAATAATAATTTGGATAAATTAATTCAATATTATGATGAAATGATTCGAGATAATGTAAAACCTAATCTATCAACTTATAACATAATGATCAAAACTTTATGTAAAAGAGATCTTGAAATTCAAACTAAATTATATCGTTTAAAAAAAAGAGCAAATATTGGTGTTAATTTGAAAGCAATTGAATCTCTTGAAAAAGAAAATTGTATCGATTTGGCTTTTCAACTTTTTAAAAAAAGTATAGATATTCATGGTTATTATTATGAAGCTGATTTATGTGATGCTTTATTACGTTCTCTTGCTCCTTATGGTAGAATAGAAGAAGGTTTAACAGTATTTGAATATATGGAAAATCGTGACATAATATCTCCTTATACTTTTGGTTATTTAATATCAATGTATAGTCATGTTGGTGATATAGAAAGTGCTATAGAATGTTTTAAAGAATATAAAAAACTTGCTCCAAATTTTACTGGAAAACATGAACCATTAGCCGTATATAATCAAATGATTTCCGCTTATGTTCGTTGTAATAATGTAAAAGGTGCTATTGAAATTTTAGAAAAAGACGTTCCTGAGATTGGTCTTGTACCTGATGAATGGAGTTATTTTTACCTTATTAGAGATTTATGTGATAGTAATAAGACTGAAATAGCTCAAGAATGGTTTGATAAGATGAAAAATGTTGATTCAATACCAAATCCATTTAATTTGATTTACGATACTATGTTGATGCAATATTCTTTAATTGGTGATTATTCAAATGCTTCAAAAATTTATCAAGAAATGAAAGACATAAATTTATGTCCTCGATATTCGGAAATGTCTTTATATTTACATTTAACTCTCAAACATAATCCTGATAGAGTTTTAGATCTTTTGGATGATATGTATAAAGGTTATCTAGTTACTGATCTCAATTTAACAAAAAGTATTATGAATCATTTCGTTCAAGTTCAAAAACCGGAAAAAGCTCTTACCGCTCTTATCAAGATTAAAGCTCTTACTGATCATCATACAAATAGTTCATCGAATAGGTCGAATAGTCCAACAATGTCTTTGGATGATTATATCATAACATTATTGAATGATCCTTATCTTTCACTTAAAGGCGTTATTGATGGAAAATTTCAACTTTTAGATTATGGATATTCTAAAATACTAAATTTCAATAAGGCTATATTCATGAAATATGACAAGATTAAAAACAATGGCGATATAGTATCAAGTTTGAAAGAACTTGATGGTCAACATATATTTGGGCTCTTTGATAATGCAACTTCTTTATATAATTTACATATCGCAAAAGATGAATTTAACGCAAGAGTATTTGAACTTGTAGAAGATTTAAAATTGTGTGAAATTACATTACCATATAGGACCTTTACAAAAGTTCATCATCATTATATGGAAGCAGGAGATCTCGAAGGTGCTGAAAAATGGAAAGAAATAGCATCAGCAGTTTTAACCACTAAAGATTCTATTATCAAAGAATCTTCACAAAAATTGCTTCGTCAACCTACTATCGAAGAAATTAATCGATCTTCAGAAATATCACAATTATGTAAAACTCATGAACTTAATCCAGTTCTTTTGTTAAGTGAATTTCATAAAATGCTTAAAGAAGATTTAATACCTACACCTGAACTAGTTAGTCAAGCAATTAGAAATTTAGGTAAAAGTAAGAATGTAAAAGAAGCTGAAGAATTATATCAACTTTCATTAGAATTCTTTAAAAAATTGGACCCATCAGTATGTACAAACGGATTAAATTGGGCACGTAATAGTATGCTTATAGCATATGCTAGTAATGGTCAATTGGATAAGGCGTATCAAATTTACAATGAAATTTTTGCACTTGGGTATCAACCAGATGCTAATGCATATGCGGATCTTTTGGTTGCCGAAAGTAATAGAAATCCTGATGAAGCTGCAACAGCTATAAAATTATACGATGAAATAAAACGTTACAATATAAAACCAACGCTTTATTTCTATAATGTATTAATTAGTAAACTTGGAAAGGCTCGAAAGTATGATGCGGTTTGGGAAGCATTCAAAGATATGAAAAGACGTAGAATTCAACCGAATTCTATTACTTATGGCGCATTAATCACAGCTTGTACTCGTGTGAAATCGGAGGACAAAGCTCTAATGGTATTAAGAGAAATGGAACAATCAAAATCTTTTCAACCACGAATTGGACCTTATAATACATTAATGCAATTTTATACATGGGATCTTCATGATAGAGAAAAAGCTCTTAAATATTTTGGGGAAATTAATCGACACAATTTAAGACCTTCTGATCATACATACAAGTTATTGATTGATGCATATTCTACTATTGAACCTTATGATATGAAATCGGCTTTAAATGTGTTTGAACAAATGAAACGAGATGGTGTTATGCCACAACCAACACATTATGCATCCCTTATTTATGCTTATGGATGTTGTCATCGAGATGTACAGAATGCACTTCAAACATTTAATACCATGCAAAATGCATTCAATATTCGACCGGATCAAAGTGCGTATCAAGCATTATTTGATGCTCTAATTGCCAATGATCGTATCGTAGAAGCTGAAGAGTATTATGATGTTATGTTAATGCAAGGTGATGTCAAATCTACAGCATATATTGAGAATTTGTTTATTCGAGGATATGGGCAATTAGGGCAATGGGAACGTGCTGAAACAGTGTTTAATAATATGAAAGATTCTGATGATTTAGATAGTGAAAGTGTACCAAGGGAACCAAGTACGTACGAAGAGATGGTAAAAGCATATGTTATCAATGGACAAATTGAAAAAGCTAAAGAAGTTGCAAATATACTGGAACATAAAAATTTTCCGGAAATTGTTAAAAATAATATAGCAAATTTATTACATTAAAAAAAAATAATAATACTGTTATATGTACTGTACGTATTTAAGTCTTAATTATTATATAATCTTTCAAGAATTTTATTATGGACAATTTTATCACTTTAAAATATGTAATACTTTAGCATCAATTTTGCAAGCAACTTTTTTAATGTCTATTGTAGATATCTGATATTTATATATATACACTATATATACACGTAGATAAATTGTTTTTTAGAAAAATATACTAAAACTCGATCGCTTTTTGGAAATGTAACGTTTCATTAATAAACAAATCATTGAATTTTCCGGCGTTAACCACCAAAAACATTTCGTCTATATAATCTGCTTGATTTTTTTTTTTAATTAACGATATAAGTATAGCTTATGCATATTGACAAGGTTTTTCAAATCATCCAAAAATTTGTTGGTCAATGATCGAAGTCTCCGGCCAGACTGGTCAATTAATTAAATAGCTTTGTTATATAAGATTTCGTACGAGTAACTAGCTAATATTTCACGTAGAAATTGGTTTGACTTTCACATGATATCAAGGTTTAACAAATTTAGAATCTACAATAGCTAATAAGAAATTGGTTCGAGTTTCACATGAAATCGAGATTTAACAAATTTAGAATCTATAATGTCTAACGTAACGGTTTTTTAATTTAGAATTTTGGAGTACATAGAATTTAAAAAAATTTCGCTAAAAGAAATTTCGCTGTTAAATTATGTTAGGTAGTGCTATTAAGTTAGGGTAAAAGAAGCTTTTATAATATCAAAATTTCGCAAGAAAAACTTTTTGTTAGTGCGAAAGGCGGTTTTGTTTTGATTTTTCGCGTTTCTTTACGCCTTGAATCTGATTGGCCAGCGAAATTTTTTAGAGTAGGGTCGTTTAGAATTTATTTATATAAACCCAAAGCTAGGTACGCTCACGTAATTTAGATTAAATTCTAAAAATGGCCCGTGATCGCACCCTTTAACGATTCCCTAAAATAAGTTTTTTAAATACATAAACCTATGTCTTGAGACTTGAATTGATGAATAATATATTCAGATATTTAGTAGCGTATTAAATTTTACAAGTTGTCAACAATATAGATTAAAAAATTGGATTGAATCGTATGTACCATTTTTACAATACGTAGTTAAACTCATTTATTGCGGTTGCAAAATTTTGATTTTGCTAGGCGATTTCTAAATGATTGCTGATTTCTTAAAACAAGAAATCAGAAATCACTTAGAAATCATTTAGAAATCGCTTAAAACTCACGCGATTTCTTTTTATAGAACTAACGATTAATTTAGCAGAATGCAAATAGTAATCTTTATTTTTAAAAAATCTTTGACTATACTAAATTAATTATAGGTCGCTTTACATTCAGTGTGTTGCAAATTTCAGATCCAAAATACTGTTCTCATGAGAACAGTATGGTTTTTATAAATGTTCTCAAATATTATATTATGTTCACATATCAGATATATAAAAAAAATAAAATAACTATTTAACCAAAAATTTTAACAATAAAATAATCCAAAATATTAAATGTTGAGATTGTACTCGTCGAGAGAAGTTCTACCCGGGTATTATTAAATTACCCGGTTATCCGGGTAATTTATTATACGTACCATAAAATAAAAATGTCTACCCGGGTACAATCTCTAATAAAATGATTATATGAAAATAAAACTTTAAAAAATGTAAAATTTAAAGATCACTCAATTCAAAATAAATACATTACTTATTTTATCTGAATAATTCACTAATCTTGAAATTCCAAATATTAGGCCACACAAAATTTATTTTTCCGTTTTGCATTACCCGCCGACTCAAATATTTCAAACCTCCTCTTCTTTTTTTTTACAATATTTATTTTAATCGTTTAATGAATTTAATTCAAAAAAATCAATACTTATTTAAAGATATACAAGAATTACTCGATTCTAATCCAGAAAAATAGAGTAATATTGGAACATTTTGAATTTAATATAGTAGCGTGTATAAAATTTGTAATTTACTTAACGCATTATTGTTACGGGTCAAGTTGGTTTTTAGGTTAAACTTGACCCGGGTCAAATTCCTAGCAGAATTTTAGGGTTAGGGCAGGCCGGAATTATGTTGATGCCGGCCGGGGTTTTTTAATTGATCAATTTGACCCGGGTCAAGTTTAACTTGACCTAAAAACCAATTTGACCCGTAACATTATCATCTGATGATGCTGAAATTTGAACTTATTCGTTTATAGTTAAGGTTAGAGTTCATAAGGGAATATCGATATGTGAATTTTAAATAGCAAGATTATTGAAATATTATTACACAGTAGACGATCATTCGCAGAGAATATATTTTCTTTTTTAAACATACCACTCTAACAAATCAATAATCAATAAATTAACAAATTAAGAACATGTTTCTGATGTCTCATAATGTAGATTGTTTTCAGCTGTTTGATTACCAGAAATTAGCTATATATGATAATTGGCTGTTTCAGATTAGCATTAGACCTAAAGATTTACAAATTTAACGTGAACACCATGTACAAATAATTTTTTTTAAAGTTACATATAGTTAAAGTCTATGATAAATATGTAAATGCCAGATTTATTCTAAAAAAGCCTTTAGTTTCATATTAATAGCAATCTCTGATATAAAGATAAATTTTATTAATATTTCTATTTTTGGCCGATTTTTATAAAAAGGAATGCAGCTTTTGAAGGTCAATAATTAATACATACTAATTTCAAATTTTAAAATGAAGAACGGATTAGTACATAACTATAACAGTAACAAAGTCATTCTTGTACCTGGTAAGTTACCGATAAGTTTAAACTCAACATAGTTTTATAATGCCTTATAATTTAACTGATTCGAAACTTTAAGACCTTGAACAAACAAAATGCTTTTTCAAGAAAGCCTTAGAAATTAAAGACTTTGGCTACATGAAAATTCAGTCTATTAATTTAGATTAAAAAAAATTCAACTGCCCAATCGAAATTTCGAATGCTATGTAATGTAAAGCGAAAAATCATCTTTGTGTAGCCTTATACAGTAGAAATAGACATCAAGCGCATATTCACTTACAATGATTATTTGAATCATAATTATGAAATATAGCTAAATTATATTATGATTAATTATATCTGGCATGGTATGACAAATGTTATATATATAACTACCTATATATGTGATTATAAGAAAATTATAATTTTTTACTGTTTTCAAAAAAATTTTTAATAGTAAGCAGTAAAAAACTTACTCTGTGTACAAATTTATAATAGTGTTTTTATAAGAACTCTGAGAATACTAATTTCCAAATACTAATTACATTGCATGTCTCAAAATAATGCCCAAGTATTGTTTGTAAAAATGCTGATACAATAAAAGCAAAAACTACAATTTAGCATTAAACCTAAGTATTGCACAAAAAATATGCAATTGAAATCATATTAGTGTTTGTTATACTGTTATATGATCTTTGTCAAATCATTAGGTTATTTAAAACTTATTATTAAATTTTATATATAAAAATAATTTTAAGTTATTAAAAAATTATTTACAACTATTTTTAGATTATATAACAATACTGTCTAGGATTGCAATCAAAATTATTCTTATTAAAATATTACTAAATAATATACAGTCAGCCCTTATTAATATTAACCTTTTATTAAAAAAAACAAGTTCAGATTATATAAAAACTATTCTGTTATTATTAACTCTTGTATATATCAACACAATTGTCTAATTCAAGTAGATTAATATTAATAAGAGTTAATTATATAAGGTAGTTATTATATTATTATAATAATTATTTTTTTTAAAAAAAAAAAAACTGGCAAATATTATATAATTTATAAAATATTATTTATAACTACCTTTTGTTTAAAGCTATTTTAATAAATAGTACATATAAAATATATGTATATATTTAGAGACGTGACAAAAATCAAGTAATTTTTTAGAGGAGGAGGGGGTAAAAAATTTAAAATTATATATAAAGACCTGATCATTATATATAGTAAGAGGGGAGAGGGTAAGCCTCTGATAAAAAAAATCAGGTGATAAATGACACTGCTCTTACTTTATACTATATTGCTAAAATTTGCAAATTAGCAACTTTAAAACTATTTTAAAATAATTATAAAATAACTATCCCTTAGATTGTAGTAGAATACAGGCAAATTTGCCTGCGTTTTTACACTTTTTTAGCTCTGATTTACTTT